GTGATGTAGGGATCGGCATGGACCCAATTGATTGCCCCAAGAGGATTGGTAACCTCAGGGTGATGTTGGGATCGGCATGAATCCAATAATATGTTTAGGTATTGATATGAACCAAAATAGTTTGTGGAGTTCTGAGGCATACCGTATTCGTTGTGCTTTGATAATGACTAAGTCGTCGTCCAAGCACCAGCTCGTGGAGTGTCTTGGCTTTGGCACACACTTCTCCTTATCTTCGATTTATCATCAACTTACTTAGTTGATTTTTGTTGGCCTTTGAAATATAATTTGGATATGCTTCCTGTTTGCAAACCTTGTTTGACATTCTCATTACACCTGCCTATGTCACGCTGAGTTTCAAATCGTATAAACATATTTTTGTCAATTATCAAAATCATATATCGTGGTGACTAAAGAGGCATAGAATACAATTTTCTTAGATTTGTAATTAGTTTTCATGCAAATTGGAAAATGACCTTAGGGTTAACCAAATGAATATAAAAATGAGACATTTAAAATGTCTTCCACGAGATGAACAATTAATTTTTGCTGGACTCAAATTGGGTGCATAAGCACCTCATGAATTTACGATTATCATTGCATTAGTGTAGAAAAACATTACATTAATTAAGAATTTCAAGAAATATAATAGTTGAGCTAGTCCATACATGTAGAAGCTAACTATACATAACTTCAATGATAGACTTAAGCAATAATATACATAGCGGAGGGAGTAAACCATTGCATTGGCAAATATTTGGCAGAAGTTGTTGTTCACATAGCTAACGTCATATAGAAGTCTTTTAAAAAGAAACACAGTCAGAGTAAAGCGTATCTCGACTTGGAGACCAGCCAAGTTACTTGCACTAGGCATATGTAAAAATCGTTTCACTTCTTACTGTAGCAATTAGTAGAATTCAATTTAACTATAATTTTATTTAGGCAAAAGCCAAGTTAATTGACTAGATGCATAGTCTTTGAACATCTTTCAATGAATATAAAGGTTCCGAATCATGTTAAACTGCACCTGACATAGGCATCTAATTGGTATGCACATAAGTAAATAATAAAACATGTCTGTTAATGACCATTAGAAATATGTGAAATCGTATTATGTGAAAGTCAAAGTGGATGGGTTTAGATTTCTTATCTTGCTTTGAGAGATGTTGAGTGAGTGGCTTGCATCGGTTATAGTAGTGGCATGATTTTCCTTCCTTTTGGGTCTGCATCAATAAGAACTAGTTTTGCAGATACTCAATAAGATTATCAAGCAATGCCGCATCAGAATTGGTGGGGTATGTTCAATTGCAATATATATGCGCAGGGTTTAGAAGAAATAATATAGTAAATTAGAGTCAAAAGCTAATACTTGATCGAGTAGGCAACCAAATATCTTGTTTTTCATTTTTTTTTTTGGACGAAAGGCAACCAAATATCTTAGGAAGTCTTAGGCAAGACAATAGGCACATATATATTCTATTAAATTCAACTAGAAGTCCCAAAGTCATTAGCATATGCTGGAACTACATAAGAATGGCACAATTTAACTAAAAAGCTAGAAAACAGGAAATAAAAAAGGCAAAAATAAATCCAAACTGAAATACATATGCGTAGCCAAAAAGAGTGTTGCTAAATGTTTGGGCTATCCCACTTGAATTGGACTTATCGGAAAAACTGAACAAGAGGTAACTATGAGAAAGAACTCCAATTGTGATTTAAACAACCCACAATAAAAGCAACTTTGTCGTACAGTATGCATCTAGTTTCCTAGACGTAACATACATTTTCCATGCTTATATATATAATTTTAATTTGTGGATCATAAAAAGAGAAAAGCAAAAATTCTCTGCTTGGGGTTCAGCCCGTTGACCCTAGCTAAGTTACTGTCTGCAAAGCAATAAATATAGGATGGTCCTATGATGAAAGAACGACGGACTTCGTGCCTGTGCCTATAAGCATATTCTTCTTAAGCATACAAGCATTACCCTAAAGCAAATATAAAAGGCATATGAAATCAAATTCTTTCATAATGAAATGGTGTGGTTACTCCAATGCAGTGTAGTAAATCACATAAAATTGATTAAGCTTGAACGTCTAATGCAATATGCATTTGTAGGATGCATTCAGATTTCAAAGAAACAGATTTTATGCACCATGTAAATTAATGGCTCAACGTGTTTCTCTTTTTGTCAAAGAGGAACTAAGAAGTCCATTTAATTCTAAACTGATCAAAATGAATGAGATGGTGCTTATCTGTGTAGTATAAATTTGGCATTCTGGCTCCTCATTTTCAAGAGATGCAGTTTATTCTGCTGCTATTCCTCTCCCTTTGAGTTTCCCTGTTCTCCTGGCGTCTTTGTTCGTTTAGAAATCACAACACCCCATTGTAGTCGGACAAGTGTGCACATATGAGGACAACATTTCAACCAACAATTGCATCATGTATTTTGAGATAATAAAGGATCTAAGCAGCCAAAACATGTTAATTGTGTCCCGGTTTTTGGTAGAGAATCAAGTGAGATACAAAAAGATATCATTTGAAGCATTTAACCGCTTGCCCCCATCTCATCACAACGAAAGAATTGGGTTGTCATGAGTATGACCGTGAGAATGACAATTGAGTATACTCTTGTGATGATTAATGTTTTTTGAGATAATAGTAGAGAGATTAAAATTTGGCACCCACAATATATTTCACTATGTCGATACTTCAAAGCATGCGCATACATACATCATTTCTCCTTGTCATGATTTATGTCAATTTTCTATGCGCCCACCCCCCTCCCAACAATTCAATCCGTTTGTTACATGATGCAATAAGCAATCTTAATAAAAGACTTTGATAATGCCCACATAAAACTTCAAGAGTGTACAAAGAAGTGCAATCATAGAATGCAATATTTTCATCCATCGTTAAATTGTGAGAGATAAAGAGTTAGAAATTCTTCTCTTATTGGAGGAGTCAACTGTTGTATAGCACGGGTGAGCCTTCAATTATAAAATGTCCCTAGCTCCTTAATATGGCTTTTTGTATGGTTCCCACAGACGGCGCCAATTGTTGGAGCAGAAAATTTCGGGTATTCCAACAAGTAATCTCGTAATTAAAGTTGAGAAGCCGGACACCATCTTCTATTGCCATCAGTGAAGGAGGGGGTACCTGCAAGAATACACTCTGATGCTCAAGTCAGTATGAGTATAATCGCAGGAAAGTTTAGAATATTGTACCTCATTTTCTCCTCTCCTTGGGATGTTGTGTTTATTGGCTTTTTATAGGCAGTGGAGTTTTGGGCTCCAACTCTCACATTCCTCATTTTTCTCCATGACTCAGGATAATGGATGTCATGTTACTTGATTTTCTCCATTCCCCCAAGTTTAGGATGCATGAGTAGTGGGTTATTGCTTATGGAGTAAAATTTGCTCATGTTTGTGCCTAATAAATCACGGCCAAGAACTGACCGAAGGAGCCCCTTTTCTCGACCCTAACCCTTGCTCGTGAGGTTAAAATGCGGCGTTTCGCCAAGATGTCTGGCCTTCCTAAAAAAGCAAAGGAAAAGTTGTGAAGGCATGATCATCTCGGCCTTGATTATAGGCCGAGGCCGAAGCCGAACAAAATCACGCCCAAAGGCACTAAGGTCAGATCATCAAGTGGCAGCAGGGTCCCACGCTTCATGTAATGAAGCAATGCCTCTGTTTATGGTAGCAAACCCACTGACCACGAATAAGCATTTAATGCACGAGGGAATGTGGGAAGTGATTGAAGTCAAGATTTGGTGACAGGAATCAGAGTGATTAGACGCAGACATTCTCACAAGAATTCTTGCAGTTTGAGAGATTGGGTCACCAACTATCAGAAACAATAAATGCGTCTCCACGGCCAGAAGCGCAGAACCCACGATCGGGGCGGCGGCAGAGATTCACCGGGATTTATAGGGTCACACCACCATACTTCACGATCCCAAATGTCGATTGGACAACCCACTTGCTCTAATCAGGCTCCACCATGCAGATTTTTAGCCTCGATTACTCCTCCAAGAACTCTTCCTGTAAATACAAGGCTCAAGCTACATTCACAGGGTTCAAACACCAAACAAAAGCCTCCCACGAAGCAAATTATATTTTCCTGTAATGCACTTTCAATATCTTTACTTGCTTTCCTAGGAGTAGTGTTAGTTTGTAAAGAAAATTCATTCATCAATATATCATACGACCCTTGATTTTCAAGGCGCCGGAGCACCATCTCTGTTACTCATTCATTCACCCCATATATCATACGACTGCCGCTCACTGAGCAGCGCGCCGGAGCACCGCCCAAAACCCACCATCAGCACCACCCCTAAACGGCCTTGTAGCTCAGGCCGTGAACCTTGCAGCCGAGATCAGTTCCTCTCTCGGCTACAATCGTTTGATTAGAAGATGAGTTCAAACAGGCGCACCACTTGACCATTCTATCCACATCAACATCTCGACGCACGGTAGACCGTGCTGGCACGCCCGCGCACAACCGCACCGCATCCAAAAGCAGGAAGCCATGCGTTAACGTACATCCCCTCGGCCCGGAACCCCAGGCCGTGAGATCTGCGCAGCCGACAGCTCCCACATCCTTGTTTTCTGTTTTCTTAATGTTTGTCAGGTAGGATTGTTTATCACAGAGCTTAGAGTAATGGCTCCTACTAAAGGTACCTAATTTCTCATGGAACTGATATATTTTGTATAATACCCAGAAAAGGAAGAAAAAAAAGAATGTGGGTTTCATAGCTTTCTCATTCTTCTAATTTTCTTTTTGTTTATTGGTATTGGTTCTTTTGATTGTTCAACTTTTTTAAGTGATCCAAAGAATGTTTGTTTAGTTAGTCTAGTCTAGTCTTCTAATATCGCAGGCAATTTTCCCGAGAAACAAACGCCAAGTAAGACTGAGCAACTCCGAGAAAGTCCGTGATAATTGAAACCTAAGATGAAGCACTATGAAGGAAGGTACGAAGGGAACAGAGAGGATGCTGACAACTATGGCGATGGGGGTTCCTCTCCCTGACTTCATGCTACCAACCATGGTGGTACCAACGATTGCAGTGATTCCAAATCACAGGTACACCAAGAGTTGCAAAAGTATGCGATTACTGACTTCTTATTTTCTTCTGATTACATCAAATGAAGATTGCTATGAAGGGGCTCCGTTTATGAGGGTGTTTTAGGGTTTATGTTGGGTTAGCTGGACTGGTTAGGGTTCTTTGTATAAATTTAATTGTGTTGGTTGTGTCTGTATGTGTGTGATCTGCTTGTTTTCTGCTATGAATCTGGGCCTTTTAGTTTTGAGATATTTAGTTACATACCCATTCTTAGCACTAAAACTATAAATAAACCATACACCATTTAATTTCTATAAACAAACCCAAAAAAAACCCAAAAAATGATAGTTGGCCCTATTGAATTTAATTTTGATTATTAAATTACTTTGATGCCCTATTGAGTGTTTTTGGCTTTTTTATGAGGTTTTTGGGTTGGGTTTGTTTGAAGAATTCAATGGCAATTTTGTAATTTAAAAAAAGTTAAAAGCTTTTTTGTTATGTTGTAAATGGGCTTTGGGTGTGTTTTTAAAGTCTATTTCATATGAGGATTTTTTATAATTTGGGCTCCTATATTGGATATAATAGTGAATCTCCCTCTAGGTTTTAGTTTTTTTTATATATTTTATGGAAATACTCCTTTGGATAGTGAATATTGGGATTTTCTAGGATTATGCATTATAATGTATTCCATTGTATCTTAGATAATAGCACTTGAACTTCCCCTTTTTTTTTGTAAAGGATAATAAACTCCTTTCCTTACTTCTGATAAAATATTTATTTCCATATCTTTCTGAAAATGGTGTATATTAGCCTCATTTCATCAGTTATTTTAAGGTACAGTGATCTGACGGTCTCTTTTGCAGCATGGCTCTCGTGACTATCGCGAGAGAAGTGAGCGGAGGAGAGGAGGACGATGTCGATGATGATCACTACCGTGTCCGGGGCTCTGATAGGTATGAATTTTTTTTAGCTAGTTATTCACCTGTAAAATGAATGTATGAATTAATCAGGGGAAGCTTGTCTGTTTTTTAAATTTCTTTATTCTAGAAACAAATCCTTTGAATTCTTGCGTTCTTATTTCTGTTATTATTATTATTATTTATGAATTGATTTTACAGGCGGAGGGATTATGACAGAGACAGGGAGGATAGGCATAGGCGCAAGTCTCGGTCTCGTTTGAGGGGTAGATCTGAGCACAAATCCAGATTGAGTTCACATTCTCGTTCACGGTCAAAAAGGTAGTTATTTGAGAGATTAGTATGTGAATGTGGCTCATAATATGCGTTTGAATCACTTTCTTAAGGGCTCTAACTCCTGTAGCAAATCCTATATTTGGATTAAACACTTTGTTGACCTGAGTTATTTTCATTCAATTTTTTTTGCCTTACTCAGGTCTCTTTATTGACCAAATTATTGTTAGTCATTTTGTTTGCTTGTCCTCTTTATTCATACTATTTGACTATGTAGGATCTAGCTGCATGGATTTAATTAGGAAAATGAACTTTGATGGCGTACATAAATACCTATTATCCATGGTGGCTTAAATTTGTAGGTCATGATCAATTTAGGGTTTAAGGTTTAGGGTCTTGTATTAGTTTCAGTCTTAGAACTTAAAGGTCCGATTGAAATGAGATCTAATTCATCATTTGGCATAACAAATCAACAATGAACACTGAAGCACTCAAATTAATATTCAATGCATTTTCCATAACAAACATTCAAGACGGATCGGAAATATACATAGAATAATTCAATAACAGGTCAGAATTAAACAATTCAAAAAATGAGAGCTCAAAAATCGAAATGTCTCAGAGTCGGAATTAAACAATTTGAAAAATGAGAGCTCATAAATCGAAATGTTTAGAGTCAGGAAATTAACCCTAAACCCTAAACTATTCTTCACTTTATTTTAATTTCCTAATTCTGAGACATTTCGATTTCTGAGCTCTTATTTTTCAAATTGTTTAATTCCGACTCTGAGACATTTCGATTTCTGATCTCTCATTTTTCGAATTGTTTAATTCCGACCTGTTATTGAATTATTCTATGTATATTTCCAATCCGTCTTGAATGTTTGTTATGGAAAATGCATTGAATATTGATTTGAGTGCTTCAGTGTTCATTTTTGATTTGTTATGCCAAATGATGAATTAGATCTCATTTCAGTCGGACCTTTAACTTCTAAGACTGAAACTAATACAAGACCCTAAACCTTAAACCCCAAATTGATCATGACCTACAAATTTAAGCCACCACGGATAATAGATATTTATGTACGTCATCAAAGTTCCTTTTCCTAATTAAATCCATGCAGCTAGATCCTACATAGTCAAATAGTATGAATAAAGAGGACAAGCAAACAAAATGACTAACAATAATTTGGTCAATTAAGAGACCTGAGTAAGGCAAAAAAAATTGAATGAAAATAACTCAGGTCAACAAAGTGTTTAATCCAAATATAGGATTTGCTACAGGAGTTAGGAGCCCTTAAGAAAGTGATTCAAACGCATTTTATGAGCCACATTCACATACTAATCTCTCAAATAACTACCCTTTTGACCGTGAACGAGAATGTGAACTCAATCTGGATTAAAAATAAAATAAAATAAGAGCTAAGTAAGATATTCACATACTAATCTCTCAAATAACTACCCTTTTGACCGTGAACGAGAATGTGAACTCAATCTGGATTAAAAATAAAATAAGAGCTAAGTAAGATTATATATATATATGTTCTGGAAATCACAATGTTCTCTTCGTAAGATTATATATATGTTTTGGTTTTCCAGAACTATTAAAACCTGAACCCAATGGGAACTGTAGCAATTGCACTGTAAAAATGGAGCACATCTAGATAGGTAAGTAGGGGAGCTTAGGCGTAAGTCAATAGTTGCATCGTTAATGAGGTCTTTTTTTTCTTTTTGAAAGGCTTTAATGAGTAATTCTAAAGTTGCGTAATTTATTAATTTTTTTGTAGTGAAGAAATTTACTAGCTATTTGTATGTATGTAACCTTGATTTCTGTTTGTATGTGTTTTCGTGAAGCTTAACTTGGTGTGTTTCACTTGTATTTGTATGCACTTCACCCTTATCTCAATTTGTTCATATTTTCCCTTTTAAACAGACCAGTGGACGATTCCAAGGAAGCAAAGATTTCAAGTGCGGAAGTACCATGTCAATGTAATGAACTAAATAATAGCCAAATACAAATGGGCGTTGTTGGCAAAGACTTTATAGTTTTTAACTTCCTAATGAAATGCAGTTATGCGCAGCGATGGAGGCTTCCCCGAGTCCAATACCCCAACATGGTATAATCAAATCAAAGGCCGTGTCCATAAAGCCTATAAAGCTGGCTCCATCACGGGGTTATGTTAAGAACTTAAGATGGCTCATACCATGATTTGTGGATTTCATTTTATTATTATTATTTTTTTTTTGCCAAAGATTTTTCTTATTTGTTTATAGCATATGATTTGGATCATGATTTTTCTACTTGGTTGTTAAATTTACATTGTATATGTAATGTTTCAAGAATTTTCTATTTACGGCCCATTGATAACCATTTTAATTTTAGTTTTTAGTGTTCATTTTTTGTGCTAGAATATAGAGGAAAAAGAGGGAATGAAAGTGAGAATGAGAAATCGATTAATTTTCTTCTTTCTTATCCTTATAAATTTTGCCATGTGTGAACTTAACGGCCTAAACGAACAATTTGACCTTATCAAGTCATCTAAATTTAATTTCCTATATTTCAATTCACTTAGTAGAAATGGCAGTCCTGATCTCTTGGACCACAGGAGTCCAAGAAATTGTGGTCACCTACCGTTGGATATTAATCCAATGGTTCAAAAAAGTTTCTTAAAAGGAATGCAAGAGTGAGTGACCACAATTGATATATACTAATATAGGAGGCTGAGCTTCTTCAATATACAACTTTCATGGTTAAATGCATACAAATGAGAGAAGGAATAACGGATTGTATATGTACTCAATCAAGATCCGATTCTTTAAATCATTCTCACTACATGCTGATCAGTAAATGCAGCAATTGTTGCAACTAAAACAAAATAAGCAGCTGCAGCATAGAGTAAACTTGGAACAGTTGGTTTTTTTTTTCTTCCTGGTATATATAGAATATATGAGTGGCTATAAGCTTAATGAAAGTTGAATAATTTTTGACATCTCAACTTAAATTAGATTGTTGCTATTACTTTCATATGGGACTGGGAAACGGTTGAGAAGGTCAACTGACATGGAGGATGAGAATAGCGTTGCAATGGTGGATGTAGCACTTGCTACCCGCAAACGATAAGAAATCATCAATCTTGCTTCCAGCTTATTTTGGTTGCAGATGTGATTTTCTCTTCCTGGTATTTTCGGTTATGATACCCTAAAATGTATGTTATAGATGATAGGCTATCAGCCCATGAGGCTTATATATGTTCTCTGAATTGAGGCCAGTCCAGCTGACTTGTTAATGGCAGGTCATCTAGTTGATATTTTTATAAAACTTCCTTTGCACCAATGGATTTGTGCTGGACTTGATGAGGTCTGAAGAGTAGGGGCAGGTAAGAAATTTTGAATTCAAAACTCTTCAGTGAATTTTGCTTGCCAAGGATTTCCTGACTAGATTTTCTTACTGATGAAAACAATAGAGTGAATTTTCTCTTGCATTGAAGTATACCTGAGGAGGAAATTCCCAATTTTCTCTTGCAGTGAATTTTCCTTCACCCATAATCAGCTTGTAGTCCTCCGGACAGCTTTATAATTTCATTTCATGGTTCTTAGGGCATTCATATGAGTAATCATGCTTTTGTTGTGATGTGTGACCATAGCAAACCTAACAGATCGAACTTGACTACATTGTTAGTGATGTCTGCATAAAGATTCAGATAGATTCATTCAGTAACAAAATTCAAAGCAATAGTGCGTCCCCTGCAAATGCAGAGGAATTAGAAAGATCGAACTTGACTACATTTCTAGTGATGATCTTATCTTTTGAAAAGCTTATTAGGTTATACAGAACTACATAGTAAAATAGCTTACCTTAACAATGTGAGCAATAAGAAAAGCCACCCAGACATACACAAGCATCGATAACTCCTTCCAGTAAATGTTGTGTGATATAGGTACCTGGACAGAGTTGTTCACAAATTCAATAAGACAGAATCTGAAACAACTTCAAAATTGCAGATAACCAAGAACTTGGAACTGACCTGCTCATCTTGCAATGAAACCATCTGCAACAAAGGAGATGTCCGCTTTAGAGTTTTCTTTTAGTTCATATTAGTGCATAATCTCTAAACTTGGTCTACATAATCTCTAGATGTAGTTTTCATGCTAAGTAGCGAGACAGATCTTCGACAACCTAAGCAAGCAGCCAATATTTACCTTCCAAAACTCAGTCTCTGATCCCCAACCACAGTCTGAAATTATTTTCTCAGCCACCATAACAATGATCGAAGGACGATAAGCAATATCAAATTTTTTCATTACAAATGTAATGACCTTTGTCCAAAATTAAAATGTAATGACCTTTGGTTATTTTGGTTATTCTGAAGTGTTCCTTCTCCGTCAAGAAACTGATTATTCAATTCAATATTTAAGTTGGGTTGGGTTCCAATTGAAGGTCAATCTAATTGGATTTGAAATTTTAAAAAACCAGTTCATATTGATACGGAATCAGATTGAATTCTAATATTCAATGGTTACAAACAACCAAGTGTTGACTGTTGACCAGGTGTTTAAATTAGTGCATTTCGTACTTCACAAGTCAATCTGGAAACCTTTGAACTTCAAAAATTCACAAACTAAAGCATCTTAAACACCAAGAAACACTAAAATTCACAACACAATCAGAGAAAGCAAAAGAGCAAGGTTTTCTCAATTATAAAATAGAATTAGTTAATTCAATATGAAGATCAACTACGAACATAAATAACTCAACAACCCAAGAATGTTATCGCATCTCCAAAGGACTGAAGCCTTGATCTATAGCGAGGAAGCATGTTTAAAAAAAAAAAAATTAAAAAACCTCAAGCAAGTTAACTTAAGGTTAACATCGGTTCTGGAAAATAAAACATAAAACATAAAATTGATGATGTGTTATATGTTAAGTGGTTAGACTATTTGAGTGGCTGAGATTTCCTAAATGTAGAGGCTCGGGATCCACTGGTGGAGTAGATCTTTTTATTTGCCTAGCACACGCAGAATTAGTTACGTGATAAACTCTATTGCTTACACAACTCGAATTAGCAGTATTTTTCCTTTTCTGTCTCATACTTCTTGTAATAAAAATTCATTGTTTCAGGTGAAGGAAAACGAATAAAGTTAATGCTCAGCCTCATAGCTATTTGTTTTATCAGTATCTCGGCTGCCATAGTGTTCGCTTGCACAGACTGCAATCTAACCAAAAGGGTAAGAGAATGAGGTCATCAAGGGATAAAAGAGTTCAAGAATGAGATGCTGTCAATTTCCAAAATCCAACATAAAAATCTTGTGAGGATCATGGCCTGCTCCGTCCAGGATGATGAGAAGTTACTAATTTACGAGTTCATGCCAAACGGAAGCTTGGATACTCTTCTATTCAGTTAGTTTCATTGCTCTTTGTTACCTATTGATGGACAACAGAGAGAGAGAGAGAGAGAGAGAGAGAGAGAGAGAGAGAGAGAGAGAGAGAGAGAGAGAGAGAGAGAGAGAGAGAGAGAGAGAGAGAGAGAGAGAGAGAGAGAGAGAGAGAGAGAGAGAGAGAGAGAGAGAGAGAGAGAGAGAGAGAGAGAGAGAGAGAGAGAGAGAGAGAGAGAGAGAGAGAGAGAGAGAGAGAGAGAGAGAGAGAGAGAGAGAGAGAGAGAGAGAGAGAGAGAGAGAGAGAGAGAGAGAGAGAGAGAGAGAGAGAGAGAGAGAGAGAGAGAGAGAGAGAGAGAGAGAGAGAGAGAGAGAGAGAGAGAGAGAGAGAGAGAGAGAGAGAGAGAGAGAGAGAGAGAGAGAGAGAGAGAGAGAGAGAGAGAGAGAGAGAGAGAGAGAGAGAGAGAGAGAGAGAGAGAGAGAGAGAGAGAGAGAGAGAGAGAGAGAGAGAGAGAGAGAGAGAGAGAGAGAGAGAGAGAGAGAGAGAGAGAGAGAGAGAGAGAGAGAGAGAGAGAGAGAGAGAGAGAGAGAGAGAGAGAGAGAGAGAGAGAGAGAGAGAGAGAGAGAGAGAGAGAGAGACGACGATGAGATTGAAGAAGAAGAGAGGTTGCGTGTTATGTTTGAGTTAATGAAATTATGACTTTCCCCTTTAAAAAAAATTAAATATATTAGAAAATAAACAATACATGATTTTTGCACCATTTAGATGAACTCCACAAAATTAGCTCCAACGGCCTTGCCGCCTTCTGTCTGCCTCTCTTGCGTCCGAAAAAATGATTCCACATTAGAGAACTTCTAAACATCGTTGAATTTCAATAGAAGCATCCCCTTTACTGTACATGGGTCGCTTCTAACTAGAGCCAGATCATTAACACTGAAGATGATCACCACCCTATCAGAATCAGAGACTTGCTGACCATGGGAATCAAAATTTGTCCTTTCACTTTTCACAAAAGGAACCTTTTAGGCTTCTGTTTCCCAGTTCAACTTGCTGCCCCTATCCAAATGAACTCTTAACAAAGCTTCTTGGTCAATTTGGGGGTGCATATGATACAAGTGACAAAGCTTTCTGCATATTGTTATCATCGCTGCTCATGACTGGAAATTCAGTTGAAAAAGTATGGAGATTCCAGAACCTGTTGCAAGTCAAAGTCGCCTCTTTCTGGGAGTGGAGGAAAAATCAATGCTGGATATGATGCTTGGAAACTTTCAAGCAACGTGGAAGAGGCAGAGCTATCAAGATATCAATGGAAATAAACAAATAGTTTAATTCAGGTCTACATATAAAATGTGTGTAAAGCAACTTTCTAAATGCAAGTTCTCAAACAATCAGAAGCAGTTTGACCATTTCATTATATCATAAAGTAAAAATTAGGGAGAAGCTGAATACAGTATTTCAATGCAAAAGTTTTCTACAATGAAGACGCATTCGTAAGTTCTTAAACTTCATCTTGAAACCTTGTGAGGAGTCGTTGTGTCAAATACAAGTCTTTCCACCCAACTTGCTTTTGAACAAGCCAGAGAAAGATCTGAATTTATGAGGAGACCCAATTTCAGGAAGGGAAACAGGACGTAGTTCACTTACATTTTATCAGCATGCTATAAAGCTCCACAAATTTTTCCCGAAGTATCTCGTTCATTTGGTCCACATCACATGCATGAGTCCAGAAGGAATCATGCACCCCTGCAAGCATATTTTAACACATATGTGAGACTTCAAACATACTTCAATATGTAAGTGAGAACTAAAACCAACATACTTCAAAAGAGACCTTGTTTTGATGAATCTATGCCCTCTAATCCTCTAAGTACAGAGCACTTCAGCAGGGTGTAGGTTCCAATATCTTCTGACAAAAGTTCAAAAGTTTAGGAAAAATTGTCTTCTTCCAATTTTTTTTTGGGGTCAGTGTCTTATCCTCATATTTGAAAACCATTACACTGAAATTTTGGTTTTGAGCATGTATTTTACATCAATGACTAACAATATATTTCAAGCCCAGTCTAATGCAGAGTTACAGACTAGACTACTGAGACAAACCTGCAAAACGTAGGCCAGTGTCCCTGCAGGCAAGAGCTATCATTATCATGTGTGAACCCGTCAAGAGAGTGTACAAAATGTGGAGGAAATGCAGTTCTCCGTTTTCTAACATCTACCTGGAGTAGGAGAATAAATCAAATCTATAGCAATTCATAAAAGAAAAGGCAAAAGAAGATTTGTAAGCTTACTGAGTTACTCTCCCGTTGCAAAGCTAAAAAAGTGATGTTCTTATCTGCAACTCCAGGGGAAGAATAGTTAATAAATTGTCACTACAATATTAAAAAAATAAGACTGTAGCACCATGTAAGGGGTTGTCTTCTAGCAATATGGAAATAAACCATGATCCTAAGCTTTAAATAGAAGAACTCTAAAACAACCCTATCCACATTAACCTCTAAAAAAGGGTCTCCTACTTCCAATGAAAATTACTGATAAAGAAAATTGACATAAAATATTAGAGTATCGAAATTATGATAGAAGAGCATGTTGGTTATCATCTGAGCCCACCTTTACAGCAACACAACGCCAAAATCAGTGTATTTCACGGAGAGTGAACAGCAAACAGTTTAAAGAAAGTCAAACAAATCCAATCCCGATGATCATCCAAAGAGCAAAGTAAGCCCCTTTTGTCCGGGAAAACCATGAATTCTAAGTCCAAGATCATGACTTCAAACCAAAAACCCACATCCAAGATTATAAGCACACTAACATTAGGAGCCTACCTTAATTTAGGGAAGAATGGTTTGGTTGCCTAATTTGGTAGGCTTGACCTTGGGAATTCAAAGGTTGGGAGCTCAAGGTATTTTGTCTTACTTGTACTTCCACTTGTATAAATATGCTTGCTTGTAATAAAAAGAAGAATCAATGAAAACTGAATACAAGTTGAAAACCAGAAAATTATCTTCTCTCATTTTCATATTCTCTTATATTTTCATATCCTAACTTCTCATGTTTTGGCAAAACCCACATCCAAGATTATAAGCACACTAACATTTGTTGAATTGATTACTAATTTACTAGTACATGAAATTTATTTGTTACCAACTTGCCAGAAACACAGTATTGGGAGAAAGAATTTAACTTTTAGCTGTGAGGATAGAGAATAACGAGCTTACCAGAAGAAGAGGTGCGGGGTGTGATGAAAACCCTACATTTTGGGGCCTTCTGGAAATAATGATAAAAGAGGTGGATGGTTCAAGGGTGTGATAGAAATGTAAGTAAAAAACTGGGCCTGAGAAAGAAATGTCAAAAGAGGTTCCTTTGGGATTTACTTAGGGTTGAAAGGGGCCAAAGGTGCAAGCTTGGAAGCTGGACCATGATCCTTTACTATCCACGAGGCCTTAATAAACCATCATTTCTCACTACCAGAAAATAAAAAATAAAAAAGGAAAAACAAAAAACAAAAAAGAGTCTAGTCAAGGAGGAAGAAAGAAAGGTGAAAGCAATGGCTGGATCTTAAAAAAAGCAGAAAAACAAATTATACAAAATTTCAAGAGTCTTCAACTTCAACTCACATGGCTACAATTATCTCATCCACATTAAACACAAAGTACAGAAAATAAAAGTTGAAGAAAAGGGGCCAAAAGGGCTGAATTGGTCAAGAAAGGAAGTTGCTGCACGTATTTGTCCAATCGTTTTTGCACAGTACTTTTAAAAGTAGTTAATGATTTTAGGATAGGATATTACTAACTGTTTATACAGTTAGCTACCTTGCTTGCTGATGAACTGCTAGAATTGACAGGTTTTGAGAAATATTTGGCAACCTCCGCAACTACCTTAATGCTGCTTATTGTAGCATTTTTTACCCAAAAGAAAGCAAAATATGACAGCTTGCTGTACTAAATACTGCTGGGAGAGGAACTAGGAAGCTTCATATTTCATCATCTTCTGTTCTTGTACTCGTTGTCTATCTTGAATGTTTTTAACCGAAGCCTTTTCCAGCTACAAGACTAGGACGGCTAAGACAACAAAACAATTGAATTTACCATTCCATTCCAAATTGAGTATAAAGAGAATTTACTGCATTATTGCTTGATTTGTTCTAATGATGACACTCACAAACGTGGGCTCCACATTCAACTCATAGTTATAAGACATCCTGTTGCGGAAATGTCCTCATACTTTGACAGTATTAATTCCTCTTGGTTCCGTTCCGTCAAGTGCTTCTTGTACAAGCAAAGTAATGTCCTTTTCTGGTCTCTAATCTTAATCCTATCCTATTCTTCCCGTCATTTTCCTCGGCACCCCACCCCACCACACCTGGTGCTTGCTGCTGCTTCCCAGCATGCTAGAGTTGGCAAAGATGAAATATAGGCAATAAGGACTATAATTTCAGACACTCTCGGAGTATGGTATACGTTTGTGATTTGGCCCACAAGTATTCACTAAATTCGACGGTTTTATTTAATGTTGAGGCTAATAAAATCCAAAACTTCTTTCTTATCTTAACCAAGTTCAGCCCTTTTTATTGCACCACGCATCCTTTAAGTAATGGCCTTCATTCTGCACGCCAATTTTTACCTTCTATATCTCAATTCACTCTTCTTCGATTTTCTGCTTTTATATCCCTTTTTTATTTTAAAAGAAAAAATCTTTTTGAAAATATCCACCAGAACTCTCATTTGAAACGTTATTTGGCTCTACCGTCACCAAAAGTTTGACAAGACCATTCTATATTGCTAAACTTAAAGAATAAGTTATGATTTTTCGTCACCCAATTTATTTTCGGTCAAAATTATCGTTGTCAAATTGTAAAACGCGTTAGATAAATAGGAATGTTTCTATTTTCTTCATGTAATGCTATCTTATTGGACAACCTAGTAATCATATAACTTTAATAAGCTCATAACCGTAAGAGCCAAGTACAAGTCAATCTCATAATATGATTCTCCAAAGATATATTAACTCCAATGGCTAATGAGTCGAAGTTTGGCATTTGGGCTTTTCTTTAGTGAATATTTGAAGTTAAATTCTGTAATTAAATTGGCTAAAGGTTGTTGTTGACAATGATTATGTAAGCAAGTCACATGGTTGACAAATCAGAGTTACAGGGATGCATGCATACATAAATAATGCATATGCATCTCTATTTGAATGAATGCAAATTCCCCCACCACCCTTTCCTTTTTTCAAGGCCAACCAAGAACCAGCCAATTCTTTTTGGCCAACTATAAAATTCCAACCCCACCTAAGCAAATACCCAAAAACCAAAAGGCCTCAAATGCAAAGCAACAAAACCAAAATTGATTAAACAATTAGAAACACTGTTCCAGCCTTGTGAAGATTCGAATCTTGCCCCACGAACATTCGAAAACAAAATGCGCATCTGACGGCTAGAAATCCCCCCTAACCCAAAAATTCCAAAGCATAATTCTAGCATCCAAACACCAATATAGCTCCTCCACGGATTTGCCAACTCGGACTCGCTAACACACAACTTCACAAATCACATACCACCAAAAAAATCGTTGCTAATAACTTATAACTTCCCTTTATTCCTTCTCTGTCTCTCTGTCTCTCCCCTGTCTCTCCTGGACCAACTTTCTCCTCCGCACCGGAAAAACCCGATTCCGGTGGCGGGAAAGACAATTCGACCGTTGGGCTCAACTGGCTTTTTTAGTCGAGTCTTTTTGGTGTCTTGTTGTGATTATGATGTCGGTGGCGTCTCCGCGAAAGTCAATAACAGAGAAGGTGTTTGAGAGGGTTGGGGGATATTCATACCTGAGCTACCTCAAGAACAACAGCGGCCACCTCAAGAACAACAGTAGCAGTCACAGTCTGAGGTTTGACGATGAAAGTGACGACGATTACTACGAGGATGGGACTATGGAGCTGGTGCAGATTGGAGCTGAGAGGACCAAGAACGTCTTGATTCTCATGAGTGACACAGGTGGTGGCCACCGGGCTTCTGCCGAGGCCATACGCGATGCCTTTCGTATGGAGTTTGGCGATGAATACAGAGTAATTGCTTAATTGGGTTCTTCATTTTCTCTTCAGAGTTTTATTGGGCTCCTTGATTTCGTCTTTGTCATTCATTTCTATTGATTTTCCTTCTGATATAATGCTTTTGGTTTGAAACTGTTGAACCTCTTGACTTTTTGTTCTTTAAGTTTTTGCCTTTTCTTCTTTGAAATATCTGCATACGTCTATAATATTTTATGATTAAGTTAATCTTTCCAAAACCATATTAATCCAATTCGTACGAATTCCGAAATTTAATCAAAAGTGTTCTTGTGCTCCTGTAAATTCCTTATTTGACAAGTTCTTTATTCGAACATGTTTCAGATATTTGTGAAGGATGTTTGGAAAGAGTACACCGGTTGGCCGCTAAATGACATGGAGAGGTCATACAAATTCATGGTGAAACATGTGCAACTGTGGAAGGTCGCATTTCACAGCACCTCTCCTCGATGGATACACAGTGTCTATCTTGCTGCTATTGCAGCCTACTATGCCAAGTAAACTCTCTTACCTCCTCCCACTTTTCATTTTCAATTCAATGAACCCCATACACAATTTTGCAAGTGATTGTTTGTAGCCTGCAAGCAGAGCTGTAGTTTCGTCATAATTAAAGTTTGATAAAGCATGATGTTATATCATGACATTACTTTGAGGTATTATTAGTTGTAATCAATTTGAAGGATCCTTTTACCACTTTCACTTATGCTTTTCGTTTTTATCTTTTCTTCTTTAAAATGATTTTTTTTATCATCCACTTGTCTCCTAATCAATCGTTAGAGATTAAAAATAATTATCGCTCTAGGTGGAGAACTGATTCTATTGACTTAGAAAGTTCTAGTTTACTGGGATTTGCTAAGTACTAAGTAAGTAGTGCTGTGTTTTAAATTGAAGGGAGGTGGAGGCTGGTCTCATGGAGTACAAGCCAGATATTATAATCAGTGTACATCCTTTGATGCAACATATTCCTCTGTGGGTTCTCAAATGGCAAGGCCTTCAGAAGAAAGTGATTTTTGTGACAGTTATCACAGATCTCAACACCTGCCATCCTACATGGTCAGTTTGATAAGGCCAATCAGAGTTTCCAATTTATGCATGCTTATTAGTCATAGGCAACCATACAATATTCTCCTAACATGGATATAGTATCCAGGTTTCATCCTGGGGTGAATAGGTGCTACTGCCCATCACAGGAGGTAGCTAAAAGGGCTTTATTAGATGGTCTTGAAGATTCTCAAATACGTGTTTTTGGCTTGCCGATCCGGCCCACGTTTGCCCGTGCAGTTCTCTCCAAGGTGCGTTGCATGTCTGAGATTTTGTTTGTATGTAGGGTTCAATGTGCTTGGTTACTGAATTTGCTTAATGGTGCCCTTTCTCCCCCTCTAATTCTTGGTTGCATAGGATCAACTCAGAGAAGAACTTGAAATGGACCCTGACTTGCCTGCGGTTTTGCTGATGGGAGGTGGTGAAGGAATGGGACCAGTAAAGGAAACTGGAAGGGCTCTGGGAGAAACACTCTTTGATAAGGAACTTGGAAAACCAATTGGGCAGTTGATCATCATATGTGGGCGTAATAAAAACCTCGCCTCTACACTCCAGACCGATGAATGGAAGATTCCAGTAAAGGTAAAACTTTGACACGTTTACATTGGGGGCAAATACATTTTTCTTTTGAAACTTCTGTTAACATGTTTTGCCTTTTCCAATTTGCAGGTTAGAGGGTTTGAGACCCAAATGGAAAAATGGATGGGAGCTTGTGATTGCATCATAACAAAGGCTGGACCTGGCACAATAGCAGAGGCATTGATCAGGGGGCTTCCTATCATCCTCAATGACTACATTCCAGGACAAGTTAGTGACCATTTTCTTTTTCACTCTTCAATTTGATTACATGTAACCATTTTCAACTTTTCCATTAACCTTTCCACTTCAATTGCCAACCCCAGGAAAAGGGCAATGTGCCTTATGTGGTAGACAATGGGGCTGGTGTGTTCACCAGAAGTTCCAAGGAAACAGCCAGGATTGTGGCTGAATGGTTCAGCACCAAAACAGATGAACTCAAAATGATGTCTGAGAATGCACTTAAACTGGCACAACCCGAGGCTGTTTTCGACATTGTTAAGGACATCCATGATCTTGCCTGCCAACGAGGTCCTCTTGCAAACATCCCTTACATGCTGACATCGTCGTTTACAAGTTTAATCTAAATGAATAACGTACCTCTGTCTTCCTCTATTAATTACTGGGGTTTTCCCACTAGAATGCCATGTACAGGTTCGAAATAGTTCTAATATTTATCATTCTTTGGCCTCAGAGGCTTGTAGCCCGCAAATGGTTGTAAATTATTGTAGACAAGCTCTGGTGTTTCGAAGGTTTGTTTTTGTTTTGTTTTAGAATATTGAAAGTAGATATCCATAGGATGACCATGCCAAAGTTGACGACGTTGTAAATTCTCAAGTTGCAATGTTATGATTTTTCTTTTGCTTCAAGGCAAACGATAGTTCAAAGACAAAGACACATGCCAAAACTCATCTGCCTTGGAAGCAAACTTGTCCATGTAACTTTCCCTTGGCTTTTTACCATTCGGCACTTTGAAACAAAGTTTGTTGCAACCCATGTGGCAAATAGCACGCAAAAATAATTAGTCGTCGTCAACACGAAATTATAGTGATTTGAGAGTCGTTGTTTTGAAGTTTGGCATACATAATTAGACAGGGTGGCTAGCTTGCCCTGGTGGTCCACCTCCAGCTCCAACATTTGATCATCCATCTCAGCTATGTTGTCTTCTTTTGGTTGACAGTTGGATCCGATATGAAAATGAGAAAATGTTGGATCATTCATCTCTTTTTTAGTTTGACTAAAATCTTAGTGGACAACATAATCACCATCAGATATTATTTTATACAATTTTCAGGGAGAACAAGTCTTCGCAGGATTATATAACAATATTAAAAATAAAAACAAATCATACGTAAGATATATGCTAAAACAAAGACTTGCAAAACAGGGACAACATAGAAATTTTTGTAGGCAAATTAGGGTTGGGCATTCAAACCGGTAACCCGGTCAAACCGCCCAAACCAAATCGATGGTTTGGGTTGGTTTGGTTTTTTTTCAATATTTTTTTGGTCATCGATTTGAATCTAAACTAAACCGAAATATATAATTCGGTGTACGGTTTAACCAAATCAAACGGATGGTATTAAAAAAATATTATATATAATACATAGTTTCCCTCTTTTTTTTTCCTCCTTCTTCTCCATCTCTCCCTCTTTTTCTTCTTCTCCTCTTCATCTCTCCCTCTCTCCATCGCTTTTATTTCCTCTCTCTCTCTCTCTGAAAGCCAAAAAACCCAAACCGAACCAAACCAACCCAATAAATCCGGTTAACCGAAATGATCGGTTTTCATTAATCATGATTTGATTTCAGTTTTCAAAGTAACCAAACCGAGGCTTACGATTCGGTATTCGGGTTGAGTCCAAAACTGAACCAACCCAAATCGAGCCCACCCCTAAGGCAAACAATGACACAACAGCAGAAAGCTGATTATATCACAAGTTCACAACAGAGCAGATGCAGATGCTTTTTTTCACAATCTAGGTATCTGGGCCACTTGAGTTATACTGAATAAATGGGCTTTGTTTGGGTCAAACGAAAATCCCCAGAACAAATGGGCTTTTTAATGTACGTGAAAACTGAATTAAATAAGTAAAGAAAAATAGAAAATCAGGGAGCGACTTTGATGTGCTTTGACGGTTAAGATGGGAGTTAAGCTTACTCTCGCAAGCGAGGTATCACCTTAGAGGATCCAACTCCTTCCACCCACCGCACCACCATGGCTATTCTCTGAACTTCCTCTCATCTCTGAAAGCTACGACATTTCCGAAACTTGGCTTGTATTACAAAGGATTGTTGGATCAGGTACTGACTTTACAACCCAATATTTATTCCTTTGATATAATCTTTGATTTTCATTTTCTTGGTACTTTGCTCTCTTTCAATTGCAGTCGCATCATATGCTTTCTTATTTGGTTGTTCTTCGATTTTTCATGATGTGTTCACCTAAGCTTTATGTAATTGGCTTGATTGCTTGAATTGGGATATGGGTTTACTAAGTTGGTATTTTTATTCAATATTTTTCTTCCATTTTTTAACATTGTTTCCATGGCCTCCCTCTGCAGAGACCCAATTGGTTTTTTGGAAACAAGTTTTCGTTTTGAGCTTGCAGTTGTCGAGATAGGTTGTCGTTTGACGTAGAAAGATGGTAAAGCTTCAAGCTTTTCGTAATTTTATCTTTTATGCTCATCTTTTTGATATATTGTTGAGGAACATTGGCTGCTAATCGTCAAATTTTTTGCTTTTATTTTATGCTTACTACTTTAATAATACTACTGAGGAGAGAGAATTAAATGTTAGTGAAAGGTGTTGGTTAAAACAACTACTTGACAAGTATGGTGACAGGTTTATCACTCTAGTTTTGTGGACGAGGAAGGAATTACTAAAGCTTGTGGGTGCCCTCTATTGCCTTTGAAAAGCCATATAAAGGGTCCTGCTCCAGTTTCAGACCAAGGTTTTATATGTGCACATTTACACTTTTAGTAGCTTGTAATACTAGCTGTTTTAAAATTGTTCCATTCTTGTTAAATTCTTTTTGATATGAGGAATATTACTCTGTGCAGATAGGACTGATATTGTTGATGAAGCAATTACATTCTTCCGCGCTAATGTTTTCTTTAGAAACTTTGATGTTAAGAGCTCGGCCGATAAGCTGCTCATTTATCTGACATTCTACATTAATGTGGCTTTGAAGAGACTTGAGGGTTGTAGAACTTTGGCTGAAGGAACCAAGGCCATTATTAATTTGGGCCTGGAAAAAGTTCCTGTGCCTGGAGAGCCAAGTTTCCCTTTCCCAGGCCTGTTTCCTCTTCCTCAATCCCCGCAGGAAGCAGGTGAAGCTCCTTCTTATCTGTATAATTACTGAAATAGATTTTGCTGTTAGATTTTTACTCAAAAGCTGGTGAAGGGAATTACTCTAAAATGAAAGTTACCCTGGTTTGTGATAAAGTTACTCTTGATGTCCCCTTTGACAGTTCCGCTTCATGGATATTGTTGAACATCAAAGTCAACTTGATTTTAGAATATTCCAGCAGTTAACATTTCAAACAAGCGCTATCATTGCTTGCTTTCAGTCATTGAGAGATGACAGGTGTTTGAGTTTCTGAGCATTTGACCTCGACACATACCTTTATATTTCTTGGCATGCTTCCCAGGTCATGGAGTATCCCTTTATTTCTTCCACAGATGTTCTTGACTGACTAACTTGGTGCTAGACTATCAATTCCGCATAAATCATGGAATAGACCCTCCACGGGGAATGCTTTGGTTAGAAATTTCACATCTTTTCACTCTGATGTGGAGAACTTTTAATTACTAACGTGTGTTTGCTTTTGAGAGAGCATCTTATTAAAATTGTTGAGATTATGGTTAGATCTTTAGTTTTTATGTTCGTCATGACATCCCTCAATTCCATGTAGAACATCCATTGGTTCTTCCATACATGGATTTTATTTTCCTTTTTTTATCTTTTTAAACTCAGTGCTATACTATCAGTTCTCCTTGAATTTATTGTCTATTCAGTTTCTCTGCACAGAAATCGCTTTGCATACATGAATTTGATTGCTAAGTTGACATAATTCTTACTGAGTTAGCATCTTTACAGGATTGTTGAGTTAAAATTTGGGTTTTGTTCTTCCATATGATATACTGACAGCTTCAGACCTTTAATATTTGGGTTTTGTTCTTCCATATGATATACTGACAGCTTCAGACCTTTAATGATATCATCTTCTCATATGTTTGAAAATATTGAATGCAGAATTGCTGAGGAATTATTTGAAGCAGATAAGGGAGGAAGCAAGTGGGAGATTATTAAGTGTTGCTTATAGACCTAACGGGACGCCCAATAAGTGGTGGCTGGCATTTGCCAAAAGGAAATTTATGAACATCATTCTTCAATCATGATCATGAATAGCTGTAAACTAGATTTTCCGATCAGTAGTCTAGTGATATTGAGCCACCGGAATAATTTGCAAATTGTTAATCATTCTGCACATAATAACAGAACAGCATAAGACCAAGACCATCACAATGGTTGCTTGCTTCAATGACTCACTACATTCTGTAAATTTTTTTTTCTATCGTTCATTACGAAATATGAAATAATTCCTCCCTTCTCCTCCTATTTTCGTTTTCTATCAAGGATTCAGACGTAATGTTAATGTTAATCAAAGTTTGCCCTTCAATGCAAAGACCTTCCTCAATCAAGTTGTCAAGTGCTTGGATCTGTGTGTTCCTGTAATTGCTTGCAGGAGCAGGAAACTTGATTTTGCTGGGAAGTAAGTACTATGTATGTATGGGAAAGTTTTGCATGTATTGATTCAGTTCAGTTTACATATGAAGCATTAATTAATATGTTGATTAAGTTTAAATGTGGTTGATTTATCAACAAATTAAGACACACAGAATTAATAAAGCTTTCCGTCCTCTAATTTGCCCATACGTTGATGGAAAGTGTCCTATTCTGTCTGTGTCCGCCATGCCATCCATGCATGCATGCACGATGTGTAACATGTTCATGCTGCTAACCCTTTTTCACAACTCTGGCGGGTATCGACGGTTAGATTATATATGAATGATTGAGATGCATCTCTCATCTCACCACCTTTTCTGCATTTTAACCAAACCAAACCACCGGGCTAAAGAGATAAAGACATAACATGATTCAATGCTTTTCCTTTTTTTTGAGTTAGATTAATGCTTTTTTATAAATAAATAAAAAATAAAAGAAATCCACTTTAGCCTTTTTAACTGTACCAACCGCAGATAAGAAACAAAAAAGAAAAGAAAAAAGCCAGATGCAGAGCCATAAAAACCATTCCATATTTGACAAAAATAAATAAAAATTACAAGGCAATAAAGAAAAAGTAATTGCTTTTGCTTGCTTTCGGTTTCTCTCCATTTTTCCTGAATTTCTTCCCTCTTTTTTCGATCAAACAAAAAATTAAAAACAATCAACTCAAAAAATTAAAAATTATTGTTTATTTTTTAAAATAATTTACATTATTTTTCCTTTTTCTTCTACTTGTAACTAAAGCCAAGAAGCTGAACAACATACTACAACAGAGCCAGTACCCCTCATCCCTCCATGGTCTCTCACTCCCATTTCCTTTAATCTCGGCCGTTGATCTCTCCCATCCATGACCCTTATGTCCTTTAAGCCTAGGGTTTCCACCATCAATCTCACCCCAATCTCCGCCACGACCACCATCATCGCCGTCCATGTCGTCGATGGCCAAGATCACTCGCACTAGTCAACAGATCAACGGCCATATTTTGCCCCACCCCTGTCCCCACCTGGCCGAGTTCCGGGCCAAGAACGGCTCCAAGCCCTTCCGAGCATTACAGGACTGTCTCCGAGTCAAGCCGCCGGGTGGCCGAGCTTCCATCCGCCGCGATCCCAAGGAGTTACCGCGCTGCGGCACTTGCGGCGAGTCCGCGCGTCCGAGGCTCTACGCCTGCATCACGTGCGCCGCTGTGCACTGTCACGTGCCTTCCGGACCCTCCCATGCGGCTGCTCACGCCTATTTGATGCCTCCGGGTCACGAGATCGCCGTCGACGTGGATCGAGCCGAGCTCTTCTGCTGTGCCTGCAGGGACCAAGTCTATGACCGCGACTTCGACGCAGCAGTCGTCCTGGCTCAGACCGCCGCGTCGACCCTGACCTCCTCGGACACGTCAGCGATCCAACAGTACGCGCCGGAGAATCTCCGGAAACGACGCCGTATCGATTACAAGCCGTGGATTCCGGATCTGAGAGAGAAATACTTGGTGGAGAAGAATTCGAGTCCTTTGAACGGCGACGTCTCGGGTTTGCCTTGGGGATTGCGCGGGCTCAACAATTTGGGAAACACGTGTTTTATGAACTCGGTTCTTCAGGCATTGCTCCATACGCCGCCGTTGCGGAACTACTTCCTCAGTGATCGGCACAACCGCTACTTTTGCCAGAAGAAGAGCAATGCCGATAATACCAGTAAGAAAACTGCCGCCAATAATAATGAAAGTGGCGGGAACAAGAGTGCTGCGCGCATGTGCTTGGCTTGCGACATGGACGCCGCATTCTCGGCTGTTTTTTCAGGGGATCGGACGCCCTATAGCCCTGCAAAGTTCTTGTACAGGTTTGTAATCGGTACAAATCTCATTTTTAGTTACAAACCTCATTTTTAGTGACAACGTGGGTACTAGCAATTAATGTAGGGATTTCATGTTTTTTTCCTTGTTTTGGATAGAATTATTACTTTTTCTCACCTTGGTTTTGTTTTGCTGTTGGCTTTTCTTTTTCGTAATTTTTACTGATTTGCTATTGTGGTAATACTGTAGTTGGTGGCAGTATGCGGCGAATTTGGCAAGTTATGAACAGCAGGATGCGCATGAGTTCTTCATTTCTATGCTTGATGGGATTCATGAGAAGGTGGATAAGGATCCACGGAAACCTGAGAGCCAAGGTTAATTCTTTCTTAATCTGAAACTGTTCTCCTAGGCACCAAACCCGGCCTGATCGTAACTATTTTCATGCAATGTTTTATGTGCATATGCTACTTCAAATTCTTGGGAGATGCAATTAGTGGTTAATGTGATTACGAACTATGTGGGATATTCTCGCATTTCGTGAGTATTGTTGTGCTCATCTCTTGTCTTTAGAGTCCAAGTGACGTGTCTGGTTAACTATAGAATTTTCTACTATGTGTGAGGACACGTAGCTTTGAGTTCTGCGTATACACATATGGAATGTGAATTAATAGGGTCCTTTGTCTATAATTCTCCCTGGAAGCATCTCTAGTTGAATTCACATTGGATTTTTGTTGGAGTTGATTGTTTGCTAAGAGTTTTTGAAGTTAGTTATTTTGAGATACATTAGAATAGTGTAATGCCTTTTTGGGGGCAAAAAGATTTTATTGGATTATCTAGTTTTACTATTGGATCACTGCCTGTAGCTCCTCAGAGATACTGTAATCCTAAGAAATTGTTAGCTCTAATTTGGTACTTCTTAGAAGTCGTAATCACTCTTCGTTAGCCAGCTTGGGAATTGTCTAAGTGGCAACATTGTGGTAAACAAGTAGTGCAAACCCTTCAATGGCTTAAGAGCACGTTATGTCATACTTTTCTATTATATCAGAAAATTCGCTGATGGATCTTTACAAGATGAAGCACGACAAAAGTTGGTGCTAGGTGAATTCTGCGAGACAACTAACTTAAGAGTTCCTAATGAGTAGTTAACTCCCAACTTCTGTATTTTTTGTCATTTCTTTTAAATTAAGATGATTCCAAATACTGTTGAAGATTAAAGGTGACTTTAACATCTAAATGCAGGGTGGGTCTAGGTATCTGGTTTGTTGCCCTAGGTGTTGACAAGTGCTCACAGATTTAGGGCTAATTTTCAACCTCTACCTGCTGGCTTGATGGCGTTATCCGCTTCACCCAGTAAGTCAACTTTCACTTAGCTTTCTTGGGTTTATCTAGGGTGTTCTCTTTTTTCGTAAGTTTCATTTAACTTAACCTTTTTGCCATGTTTAGGGTCTAATTACAAAAAAGGATCCCAAACCAGAAAATCCAAAGATTCTCTTAGGTTCACAGCCAGCCTAATTTTTCTCATCAATCCTCTGGGCACTCCAATTATTTACATCAGAATTCTTTCAGCCATCTTATTGTTTTGGCCAAAATGTTGAATTTGATCTACCTGTTTATTGGCATAGGTTATTATCTGGTGTCATCTATCCTTCTTTCGTCTTGGCGACTGTTTTGTTGCTTTTGTATTTCGACTTGTCTCAGTCTTTTGGCAAGCTAATTTCTTGCTGTGACTCAGGTAGTTTCCTAATAGAATTTTTCATTTGCAACCTTTAGGCAGTAAGAAGGGGTTCTATGAGATGGTAACCTAGGATTCCATTGCAGTACATGCATGTAGTTGAGTGTAATCTGGGACGTATATAGTATAGAGGCTGACAGTTAATGTTATGTTAATGTTTGTCTGATAGAGATAGATTCCTAATTAGCATGAAAATATTCAACAAAAGTGTTTCCAGACATCGGAGATTGCTTGATATGTGTCTTCACCTGTATCTGCATAACTTATACTATGCCTATTATATATATATATATATATTAATTAAAATTAAAATATCATTCTAATGAATCTTCATTTCTTTTGTAGTGCAGGCAATGGAGATTGTTGTGTTGCTCATAGAGTTTTTTCTGGTATCTTGCGATCTGATGTTATGTGCATGGCCTGTGGTTTTACGTCTACAACATATGACCCATGTGTGGACATCTCACTGGATTTGGAACCTAACCAAGGAGGTTCTGCAAAGACAATGTCCACGAAGTCAAGTTATTCTTGCAATGGCGAGGCAGATTGCATGAATTCCAGCCAAAACTGTGGGGTATCTACCCTTATGGGATGCTTGGACCGTTTTACACGACCTGAGAGATTGGGCTCTGACCAGAAATTTTTTTGCCAGCAGTGTCAGGTGAGGCAGGAGTCTCTCAAGCAAATGTCAATAAGAAAGCTACCTTTGGTTTCTTGCTTCCATATAAAAAGATTTGAGCATTCTTCAGTGAGGAAGATGTCAAGGAAGGTTGACCGTTATTTGCAGTTTCCATTTTCGCTAGACATGGCACCTTATCTGTCATCTTCCATCTTGAGGAGTAGATTTGGAAATAGGATTTTGCCATTTGGAGGGAATGACCCAATTGCTTCAAACGAATTATGCTCAGAGTTTGAATTGTTTGCTGTGGTCACTCACACAGGCAAGCTAGATGCAGGCCATTATGTAACTTACTTGCGATTAAGTAATCAATGGTACAAGTGCGACGATGCTTGGATCACACAAGTTAATGAGAATATTGTGAGGGCAGCACAAGGCTACATGATGTTTTATGTACAGAAAATGCTATTTTACAAGGCAAGCGAGAAACGGGGTCCTGCATGATACGCTGGTGAGAGAAGTTAGTGATGAAATTTTGCTGCTTGAGCCGAAAGATGGAAAAATAAAAAAGAGGACAAATATTGAAATGGAATTCATGGCCAGTGCCAGTCTTGTTTGCCGACAAAACAAATTTGAAGGAATTGCTTTTGGCGTTGGTTAAAAAGAGGTGAGTAGCTCACCGTGTGCTCAGAGCTCACGGAGGACACCTCCCATCCAGGTGGTTGGTAAGTGGTAATTCCTGATTCTCAGATGGGGCATAATGAGCCTGAATTTTTGGGGCTGTCTTGCATTTGGGAAATATGATCCATGATAGATATTGGACCCATTCAAGTATTTGTGAAGGTTGATTCTATATATTAGAAGGGAAGGCACCAGTCTCGTTATTTGAATCATATACAAACTAGAAAAATAAAAAAATATTAACAAAGAATCTTTTTATTTGGGTAAATCTAAAACTTTTGTTGAAACAAAAACTATGATTAGGTTTAGGGATTCCGTATGTGAATGTAGAGGCTTGGGATTCCGTAGCTGATATCAATTAAATTGCCATATGACATGGAATTTTTGGGTCAGTCTTGCATTTAGGTGTGCTTGGAGGTACCGTATAGCTGTGGTGGTCTTTTAATTCTGTCTTACGTGGCGTTTCCATTCCATATCCATAGCAGAAAATCCGATCTAAGCTGGTAAATAATAATATATTTATTTAGTTCCTTTTTGAAAAAATGTATATATTTATTTATGGGTCTTACTATGGGCCGCCGTTTGAAATATTTGGGCTTTATTATGGGCCGCCATTTTAATATTTGTGCCGCCATTCAAATGTTTGGGCCTCAAACCTTCTCGAAGACGGAGACGGACTGACCCTTTTGTAGTTTGGTTCTTTTACTAAAACAGAGCTAACAAGATAAGAAAGAAGGTTAAAACCAACACATTGTCTTTTTACTACGATTCCAAAAGTGAGGAGATCATCAATCAATTGGGTTTTTGAATTACGTGGAAATCAGGCAGTGAGACACTGAAATTGGATTTTGCCGTCTAAAGCAAAAAGACACAATAATTATTCGATGAGAGGTGGGAGTTGGGGAGATAGATACCCATTTTTCCAAAGCTCCCAATTCACAACTCAGTATGGCTGGCTTTCTTCTTCCCGCTGAGGCAGCATCATCATCATCAGCCCCCAATGAGCTCCAACAAATGCAAATTGAAGAGCCCCCACCATCACAATTCATTGTGAAAGAAAGTGCTTTTGGCTCTGTGGAGTCTTCTCCTCCATTAGTTCAGATTCCCATCGTTGATGTCAGTCTGGTCTTCAGCTCGCAAGATGAACTAGAGAAGCTAAAGAACGCTCTCAGCTCATGGGGATGCTTCCAGGTAGGTAACTAAATAATGCTCTCACTCTCAGCTCAAATTCCAGGCATAGCATATCAAATACATGCTTCTTTGATCAACGAATTTTGACAGGCAATTGGACATGGGATTTCAAGCTCATTTCTAGATAAGGTGCGCGAAGCAGCAGAACACTTCTTCTCACTTCCAATGGAAGAGAAGCACAAGTGCTTTCGAGCAGTTAAGGAAGCTGAAGGATATGGGAGTGACTTGATAGTTTCCGATAAGCAAATTCTCGACTGGTCCAATCGCCTCTTTCTAATGGTATTTCCGGAAAATCAAAGAAGGCTCAATCTTTGGCCAGAAATGCCAAATGATTTTGGGTAAATCTAAATATCTTCACTCAGTTCTTCCTTTTCATATGATCATATATATGATCTAGTTATTTACTGAGCCTTGATTCATTATTTTGTTGCAGAGAGATCTTGATTGAATACGCTACAAAGATAAGGTCTTTAATGGATCTCTGCTTTAAGGCCATGGCAAAGTCACTGCAACTGGAAGAGGACATCTTCCTGAAGCATTTTGGAGACCAAGCTGTGGTGCAAGCAAGATATAACTTCTACCCACCTTGTCCTAGATCAGATTTGGTTCTTGGCCTCAAATCTCATTCAGATAAATCAGGGGTCACTATCCTCTTGCAGGATCAACAAGTTGAAGGCCTTCAGCTTTTCAAAGATGGTACATGGTTCAGAGTTCCTATAATACCCCAGGCTCTTATTGTCAATCTAGGTGATCAAATGGAGGTACTTATTGTAGCCTATCAAAATTTGATCTTTGTTTTTTTACTACAAGCGATAGGGGTGGGGGATTTCTCTCATCCACATAACTATGATGTCATAAGAATTCAAACCTGAGACCTTTGGTCTACAAGTCAAGCACTTTTTCCACTAGCATATCAAAATTTGATCTTTGTTTAATTACTTCTACAACAAGTTTTAGTATGTTTGGTTTTTATTTTTATTTTTATTTATTTTTCTTATTTTGCAGATAATGAGTAATGGAATATTCAAGAGCCCACTGCACAGAGTCACAACAAACACAGAAAGGATGAGGGTATCTGTGGCCATGCTTATTGAGCCAGCAGCTGAACAAGAGATTGGTCCAGTGGATGACTTGGTGGATGAGAAAAGACCAAGACTCTATCAGAATGTGAAGAATTATGGTGCTTTTAACTATCATTGTTATCAGAAAGGGTTGGTAGCTCTTGATGCAGTGAAAATGTAATTCTCCTTTATTGTTCCTCTATCCAGCACATAACATTGATGTTCACTTCAAAAAATAAAAATAAACATTATGGATATGGATATCTGGCTGGCTGCCCGTATCTGCAAAAATGTTTGAAATGGCTTCAAGGAAATAAGGATAGAGTTTCTCTAGCATACTTTTCCAGTCTCTTTCTTGTTCTTCCTTTTTATCAAAAGGTAACTATTTATTAGCTTCAGGTAAAAGAAAGATAGAGAGTGAAGAACAATTAGATTTTGACTGTTTCAAGTGCAATCTCCCCTCTCTGATAGCATTCATAGTTGATACGACCATAATTCTTGACATTTTTGTATAACCTTGGCTTTGTTTCGTCGTCTATCAAGTGTTCCACAGGACCAATCTCAGTTTCAGGATCTGGTTCATTAAACAAAGCAACAGATAACCTCATCCTCTCTGTATTTGTCACCACCCTGTGCATTGGGCTCTTGTATATACCATTACTCATAATCTGCATCAATTCATTCATTTTATTTTATTTTAATGAAAAAGAAAGAAAATTAATTAGTCTAGTTGATTAAACTCGTACCTGCATCTGATCACCAAGGTTAAGAACAAGAGCATGAGGAACAATGGGGACTCTAACCCATTTACCATCTATCAAAACTTGAAGACCTTCCACATCTCTGTCTTGCAAGAGAACTGTCATGCCAGACCTATCTGTATGAGGCTTGACACCGAGAACCAGATCGGATCTCGAGCACGGCGGATAGAAGTTGAATCTTGCTTGCAGCAGGGATTGGTCTCCAAACAGCTGCTTTGCAAAGCTATCCTCTTCTAAATCCAAAGACTTTGCCATGGCCTTGAACACAACCCCCATCATCAACTTTATCTTCGTTGCATATTCGTGTAACATCTCTCTACACATAGAGATTTACTTATTCATTAATCCAATGATTTAACCAACTAGCTAGCTAGTAAAAGCAAAATCTAATTTATTACAGATTAATGAATGCATTATTATATGTCAAGGTTTACCCAAAATCATTTGGATTTTGTGGCCAAAGATGAAGCTTTCTTTGGTCTTGTGGGAAGACTCTGAGAGTGAGACGGTAGGACCAATCGAGAACTTGCTTCTCCGACACTATGACATCATTCCCATATCCTTCGGAGCTGCCATCGAGTGCTCGGGAGTATTTTTGCTTCTCTTCTACTGGAAGTGCAAAGAATTGTTTTGCAGCTTCACGTACCTTGTCAAGAAGTGAATCTGATATCCCATGACCTATTGCCTGGAATTCATTAACCCAACATTATATACATGTAGTAGTTCCAATTCCAAACAATAGTTTCAGCTTAAAAAGGTGAACTAAAAACTAAAACAGATTCAACAATTCTTTGCACTTAAACATACATAATCTCTGTGTGTGTGTGTGTGTATATATATATATATTACCTGGAAGCATCCTGCTGAGCTGAGAGCTGTTCTAAGTTTCTGTAGCTCATGATTCTCTGCTTGTTCAGAAAATTCAAGTGATGATGGGGAGAAGAGACTGATATCAATGATGGGAATTTGATCAGCTAATGGTGGGGAAGACTCTATGCATCCAAAACTGCTTTCTTTGACAATATATTCAGGCGGTGGTTGATCACCATTGATGGACATTTCTTGGACACTCATGGCGGCCATCTTGTCTCTCTGATATTAAATCCAGTGAGCTTGTGCTGCATATATAAGCTTTTTCTAAACCAGAAGTTCTTCCACAGCATTGATGCATTGCATTAGGGGCCATGAAAAATGTAATATTTAATTTATTTGGTCCCCTCTACGACGGCAGAACAACTTTACTTCTCTGTTTTTTAGGTAACTTGGAGGAGAAAGACGAACAATTCCAGTAACTTGGCCTTCTCATTGCATATTTTATTCACCACATTTTCCATGGGGAGGTCATGACACGATAATATATAATTATCTATGCATCGTCACAGCAAACAACAACTAAGCAAATCCCTCATATTTATATAGATTTATGAAATTGAAATATCAAATGTGTCAAGCTCTAAAGTCCAAAACAAATCCTCAGTTTGACAACTTTGCAGGAAACTAAAAAAATAAAAAATAAAAATCATAAAAATAGGAATAGCTTTGTAAATATGTGAACGCTCTTAGAAAAAGAAAAATCAGAAAATAGCAAAATTGAGTATATATACCTCCCCAAAAGATAATAGCAGCATCATTACCCCAGCCCAAATCATTCATTTTTCACTCCTTGTAGGACACCCAACCCAAGTGACCTAGTATTCCAGTAACTTGGCCTTCTCATTGCATATTTTATTCACCACATTTTCCATGGGGAGGTCATGACACGATAATATATAATTATCTATGCATCGTCACAGCAAACAACAACTAAGCAAATCCCTCATATTTATATAGATTTATGAAATTGAAATATCAAATGTGTCAAGCTCTAAAGTCCAAAACAAATCCTCAGTTTGACAACTTTGCAGGAAACTAAAAAAATAAAAAATAAAAATCATAAAAATGGGAATAGCTTTGTAAATATGTGAACGCTCTTAGAAAAAGAAAAATCAGAAAATAGGAAAAGTGAGTATATATACCTCCCCAAAAGATAATAGCAGCATCATTACCACAGCCCAAATCATTCATTTTTTTACTCCTTGTAGGACACCCAACCCAAGTGACCTACTCCTATAAACCATAAACATAACAATTAGCGTACATATTCACATCATATTGTCAATAAATTAATCAAATGAATACTAAAGACATGTAACTCGAATGGTTAAGAGCAGTTACCTATGTACTTAAATTGTAACATCCCTCTCCCAATGTCGTCCATACCGGTATACGACCAATATGGTACTGACATGAAAGTCAACCGAAAACACCAGTTGCTGCAGGCCCTCATGAGTCATGAGTCATGACCCACTACCACTAGCTGGGCTCAGACGGATTGACCAGGCTCAAGTTCAAGCTGGGCTGGGCTGAGTTACTGTTGGACCTCTCAAACTCCTCTCCTCTTTATGTCCCAAAGTCATGGGAATTGGGACCCAATGTTGTGGGTGGGTCCCACTAAAATATTACAAAAATATCAAAATTCAATTCAAACTATAATTCTGAGCCACAAACCCAATCTGTTTCGTGGCGCAAAAATGCCCCCAATAGGCAGCAGCAGTAGCTCCTTTCCACACTTCTCTTCTTCGACTCCACAACATTAACCACCAAATTTTCAGAACAAAATCAATTTCCACTTTCCTTGTTCACTTTTTAGTTACAGTTACGGAACACACAGATACGTACACAAAAATGGCGAAACTCACACTCAGAGCTGAGAGCTCGTGCTTATTTTCACCCACCACAAGCTCACAGTCGCAGCCCTCATCCTTCGTCTCCTCATTCCGACGACGTCGTTTGCTTTGCTTCCCTCCAAAGCATAACTTGGAATTCAGAGTCTTCTGCAGCATTAAAGAGAGAGAAAGCATCAAAGAAACTAAGAGAGTGAATGGAGTCCCCGTCGATAAGGTCCAACGGGAGGGTTCGGGTTCTGAGGGTGATTCGGGTCTGGAAAGCGGGTCTGGGGAAGTGGGTTTTGATTGGGATTGGCCTCCGTGGAAGAACATACCTCGCAGATACAAACTCATCGGCACCACTTCGCTTGCCTTCGTTATCTGTAACATGGATAAGGTAGTACTGGCTCTGCTCCTAGCTTTGTTATTATTTCTCTCGCTGACCCAAATTCAACGAACAAGTACTGGTCTTGAATTTTCAGCTTAAACTTTGATGCACTTATGGTTGATAAGGATTTTTCTGCAAAGTTACAAGTGGACCCAGTTTTTGGGTTGTGGTTTACTGCAAATTTATGCATTCTGGTTTCAAACGACATATTTTGGCGTGTAACCCTCCAATTCCTTCAATATCGTTTTCTCATACTAAAAAGAGCTCTGAGTTTTGTTCCTTTTCCAAGTAGGATTGATTAAGTTTGTTTTTTTGTTTATTTAATTTGCAGGTGAACTTGAGTATTGCTATAATTCCAATGTCGCATCAGTTGGGTTGGAGTTCGTCCGAGGCTGGATTGGTTCAATCTTCGTTCTTTTGGGGCTATGCGTTGAGTCAGTTGCCTGGGGGTTGGCTTGCCAAGATATTTGGTGGGAGGTTTGTTTATTAAAGCTTCAATAGTCGTTTTTAGCATGTTTCTTATTTATCTGTACTTACAATTTTGCAGCATGGGTCAATCATGCACAATTTTTCCTGCTACGACTAGAACTACTATAGTTAGTCTTAGTACTAACCATTTTAGAAGAATTTTAAGAAATGCATGTTCATTGATCTTTTGGCTTGGACAGACATGCCACACTCATCTAGTGTTTTTTTTTTTAATGCAGAAAAGTTCTTCAGATTGGAGTATTAACTTGGTCATTGGCCACAGCACTTGTCCCTCTTGTTGCTGGATTTACACCTGGTTTAGTTGTTTCTAGAATTTTGGTATGCTAACCTACTGCCAATTCTATTTATGCTTCAGCGTTCTTAAGTGTTTTGTTTTTGTTTTAATTTTGGAACTCTTTGTTATCTGTAGTGTGTTTGATATTGTGTTAAATGTTCATCTTACTTACTATGATCTTTTCTTTCAAGTAAAGGTAGGTATTGGAGAAGGCGTTTCCCCATCCGCTGCAACTGACCTTATTGCCAGGCATGTATGACATTCATATGTTACAATCAGGGTGCACACAATATTGATACACTATATTGTATGATTTAATTGGAATAGTAGTATTCTGCTTGTTCTACTATGTTTTCTTATATAGATAATTTGGCTTATATTTTGGGCTTTCTATGGGCATTTTATTCTCGTTAGTGATGTAGTTTTTCAAATAATTCTTGAATTTACTGGCTATGATGGCTAATAACCAGATTTTTATTCCTTTTTTATGCTTGACTATTATAGAACTATTACTGTATTGGTTGGTTGTTGGAAGCTAGATTATAAAAACTATTTATTCCTGGTCTTATAATAAGACTCAGTCTCTCCAAAGTTAAATGTGTAACTATTTATTCCTGGTCTTATAGTAAGACTCAGTCTCTCCAAAGTTAAATGTGCGGCAGCCTTTTAACATT